TTCGACAAGATGGTTGAGAAACAGATGTCGCGGACATTGTACGTGCTGCCATCTATTGAATTTTTCACATGACTTATTGGGGATAGTTTTGAATAGAACCGATAGGTGGCAGCACGTGACTTGGTAATAAAAAAGGATGATAGCGTGTGACGAGGATAGAGATATATACGCGTGATAGGCAAAGAGAGAAATCGTGTACGACAAGGATAGAAATAGAAATTAGTTCCACCGTTTCACCGCTACGCGACGCTAGCATTTTAGGGTCCATGAACGGACCAAATTTTCATTTGTCGAAGAAACTAATTAAAAGAGTTAATTTTTGGACTTTTTACAGTTGTATCATCATAATTAGGCCTTCAGGTTTCTTTCTATGTGTCTGTCGATTTTTAAAGTGCTTGTATGAAGATTTCACAAATTTCGAAAATAGATCGAAGCACAAGTCCCGAGGTGTTGAATTTTCTGAACATTTAAGTTTTCGTGTACTACGTTTGAAATTTGTAATGAGAATTATTTGCGAATATAGTTAAAAGCTTGAACAACATATTTCGAAACAGTCACGGATGTAAATTTTTATTTAATCAATTGATCACTAATAATTAATGCGCGTCTCACCGAATGTAATGCAATCACTGTATGTATTTACATTACAACAAATTGATTTATGAACTCTTTTGCATGTAATATGTAGAGTTCAAGAGACATTTTATAACTGAATTAAGCCTAATTTAATTTACGTGATAATGATTTTATTAAGCCATTTACATTGAAATCTTGCAATTAACTGCTTGATAGATATCGCAAGGTTTATAATATTCTTACTGACTTTAATCTTTGAAAAGTACATTTATAAACATTATACTTTGAATATTATGGTAATATTAAACGCGTGTCTGACATCGTACGTACGGATCTACTGAAAACCAACAATTACATTTTTCATTCTATCATTCTATTAATTCTACACTGCTACAATTCTACAAACATAATTTATTCAAATAAATGGGATACACAGAGAGAAAAAAGAAATAATAACAAATGAAAAAGACAGCATTACAGTATAGAGATAAATAAGATGGAAATATATTATAACTTGTTAAAAGTATTTGAATACTGTCATTGATGACAGAGCGATAATAATGTTTGTTTGTCATTGTATCATTATATTATCCACGTTAAATATTTCTTAACAATATTTAACGCTCAGGATATAACAATTAAATAGTAGAATCGCATTCTTCATTTATTATCTCCATGAACTCTGTCTCGTCGGAAATTACGTGCCAACCTAAAATATATTGTTAGCCTCACTGTGACTTTTTAAAATGAGTTTTATGGCCTTCAATATGCATTTCATTGGAACAATTTAAAAACTAACACTCGCCGACTACGTTTATAGTGCATGCAATTCGATATCCTCCTGTATTGTTGGATTAACTGATGCATTTTTATCTTCACGTACAAGAACAATAATTCTGCAGTAGAACTTCGTTTGTTTGAAGACACGAGAGAGACAAGATAATTAATGAGTTCGGATAATAGAGGCTTTCTCCATATTCTACTCTTATTTGCTCTTATTTGCTATAAGAGATAGCAGACAAGGATAACAGAGGTTGATCAATTATGAATTCGCTGATAGCTCTGAATCTCAACATTCACTGATTCGCATAAACGAAGTATGTTTCATTTCTCAATATTTTTGTACTTGTTAACTATACTCTTATTTATATTTTTCACACTTTCACAATTCATCTATATTTTCATAATATTAATATCTCGTTTGTCGTATCAATGTTAAAGAAGAAATTAAATTGTTACGCGTTTCGACAGAGAATTACAATTCAAAATGTTCACACTGAATGCAAGTGGAAACCGCGTTGCCTATATCTTCTGTTAACAAAGTAATAGAAGAAGTGGGATAGCGAGAAAGCTGTTTGTTTTAT